AAATACCTTATTTCTGAAATGGCTCGCTGAAAGCTGTGGGTGAGTTTAGTTGTGTCCCCTCCAGCAGCAGCCACCGTGTTACAGCTCTGACCCCTGTGTGCCATTCCCCTGCTCCCCACGCTGTGCTGCTCACTGTGAGCTGTCCCTAAGGCCTCTCAGTCAGTCAAAAAGAGAGGCAAGAAATGAAAGCAGCCTGTTTTGCCTGCAAGGGCTTAGGGAGAGCTTAGGGTGAGCAGCAGATGCAGAAGGGCTGACGCAGTGTTGGCCTCGGGCCAGGGGCCCAGCAGTGTGCAGATGAGGATGATGACCTCTGTAACTGGCCCAGCTGTAGCAGGAAAAGGACATCCCTAAATTAGGCACTCAGAGTCACTCAGTCACTTCTGAAAAGCCTCAAACTTCAGACATGATTCCTACTGAATAACTTAAGCCGCTCTTACCCCTGGTGAATAACCCGAGAGGGCTGAGGGCAGGCAGCCTCTCCAGCTGGCCAGGCTGGCTGCACCACGCAAGTCTCAGAGAATTTTTAGTTTTCATTCCATCAGACCAATATTAGTAATAAAAATAAGACCTGCTGCCCAGAAGTGAATGCGTTTCTTATGTCAACACTTCTCCCTATTTTGCTTATGTCTTAAATCGTTCTTCAGAGGCAGACTTTACTGGCTGTACTTTTCAAACAGGGGAGAATAATAAGTACTTGCAACTTAATCAGCCGTGTAGCTGCAGAGAGTTTTTTATTCCTGAGTACTTTTATGTCCCATAATAAGCTAGTATTTGATAACTTCTGATGGTAATGTATTCCATATGCTTTCCATTGCTGGGATAAAGAGCTTTACTCCAGAATCCAAAGCAAGTAGCTGTGGGTATTTATTTAATAAGGTTTGAAGCCTTTGTACTAGGCAGGATGTCAGTATTTTGCGTATGAGGAGCTTCCTTGGGCTGCTCATGGTGAGGTTTTGATTCTTTAACATCATGGGAAGATCGCTGGTGCTCCATCTGTGCTTCCTGTGAGGTGGGGTAGCGTTCTTGGTTCCAGCAAGAGTCCCGCCATTGCAGTCAAATTCCCTGCTTTTGCTCTGTCCTTGCTCTAAATACCACTACTTTCCCTCCAGGACTTGGGACAAGCTAAAACTGAGAGGAATTCAACCATGAATGTCAAGATAGCCAAATGAGTGGTCTGCTCATAATTCCTTGAGGCATCTCCTCTAATGCCTCCCTCAGAACAAAAGTCCTGTTGTGGGGGTGCTTAGGAGTTGCTGTAGTCTTGGAGTCCTGACAGGAATGAAAAATAATCTTTTTATGGTTTCTTGCTAAAGTACTCAAACTGCTCTGCTTGGGCTTAGCATTTGAAAAACATTTTCTGGTATGTGACTCTTCTAGACGCTCTGGCATATTTGCCTCCGCTCTGATCAAGACAACAAGAATTATCTTAAAAGTTTTTGGCAGGATTCAGATTTGTTTCAAGTCACAGAGGCTCATCGTTACCATTTTATCTGCATGACTGTCGGCTTCAGTGTAATATCACAGGCCCTTGTGAAAACTCCTCTGCACCCTTTGGGTGCAGTTAAAGCTGAAGAAAAATTTGAATGTGAATCTCATGCAGTCTTCTGAATCTTGAACGGGAGGTCTGTGGGACAGACTGAGGAAGGTAATTTCAGAACTGCTGATGCTTTTACTGAAAATGGTGCACCCACTGGTATTTTACCTCAGAAACAACTGATTTTTGGCAGTGTTGCTATGGTTATGCTGTAATTTGTGGTCTTTGATCTTAGCCTAAAGGCATTCTCGTGAAGTCCAAATTGCCCCATCCCTCCCGTAAACTTGGAAGACAGAAGTCATTTACCTTCTCATTTGGTTGTTTTCCAGGCCATGAAAAAGGCAGGTACACTTCTGAGCCTTCTCCTTTTATGCTCTCCTGGCAGCAAATATCCAAGATCTCCAAAGCTGTGGTCTGTCCAAGCCTATCTTTCTGTAGGCAACACTGCTTCTTGCCAAACAGTTTTTGCTCCCAGTTACCTGCAGAATGTCTGTGGATTTGGGGATCTGGTTCCAAGACTACTCGGTGTATCCTTGAATAACCTCTGCATAAAATCAAAATAAGCCAGGGGTGCTTGACTTGCTCCCCCCTGCCCACTTGCATGCTAAGAGAAAACTATGATACTATCAAATCTCAGTGATTAAGATCCTTTAGGAGGAAGAAAACTGAATGATATGTGAGCAGATTGTGTCTCAGCCAACAGCATGCGATCCAATATTAAATATGGGTTTTTTGAGTTACAGAATCATAGACTCGAGGAAGAGCCCAGGTTGGAAGGGACCTCAAAAGATCATCTGCTCCAACCAGATGGTTGGTTATGTAGTGAAGTAGACAAGAATAGGAAGAGAGAAACCATTTGCTTTAATGAAATAGGCCCAGTATCTTATTTTTGTATGTTCTCATCAGGAATCTTCTAGGTTTCACATAGCAAAAGGCAGTGCTTGCTAGGAAGAAGCACCTTAATTTCTTAGAGTTTGAAGGGACTGTTGTTTATATATATATATAAAACAAGTTTCATGTACACATGAATTTATATCTGTATGTATCTGTGTGGAAATAACTAGATTCTTACCCTGGTAATTTTTCAATAGAATCCAAAGTTTGAGAGAAAGAGTTTATACGTAGCATGAATACTTCTAGTGATAGCTCTGTTCTGGCTTTTCTAGTACACATTTGCTGATGATGCTAATTGTTACTGTGACTTGCGACTTCCAACCTCTGAATTTAAATAAAATTTGAAGAACTGCCTTCTAGAGACTCTTGACTACCTTTATAGGTTCAGCTGTGCCTAACTTCATATAAGATACTTCATATAAGATAGTCCAAGACAGTCTGGTCCTAGGAAGTAGGTTTCTCAGGCTTCTGATTTTTTAATTTTTTTTTCCTGTAACTTTTCTGAAGACTTTTTTTTCCGCATACGTTGTGAAGTGTAGGCATCCAATGTGGTGGTCATTTTACCACGAGACTGGGCAGGATAATGTTAATTCTCTCTTGCGTCTGAGTGCTGTTGTGTTTCCTGCCAAGCCTCTTAGCTAAAGCACCACAAAGGGATCTCATCCTCCTTTATGTATCCACCATAATTCCAAAGGACTTCTGAGGTTTGGTGTTTTCCAGGACACAGGTCTGCCCATATTAAGTGGATGGGTAAAGTTGTATTTGACTATATTAAAATGTGTTGCTAAATGAGCTTGACTTCCCAAGGCATTGAGGTTGTGCTTTGCAGTCCTAAGGGGTTCAGTCAGCGGTGGGTTGTGCTTTTCCAGTGAAGTTAAAGAGCTTGCAGCCAGAAACAGGTCCTGGAAGATGACCATAAAATGTCATTTTTGAGGTGAAACTGCCCATACCCCTGACAACTATGACTTGTACAACCATACTGCTAACACTTCCCAGACACTTTTTGCTCCATTACAGAGATTTGACTGTTTCTGTGTGTGGTTAATTCTTTAATCAATGCTTTGTGGCTTGGAGTCCATCATTCTACACAAGCTAGGTGAATTATCACTCACTTTAGCAGCCATGTTTTTCATATTCCAAATGTAAGATTTGATTCAGTTTCTGTGTTTGATTCAGGCCAAGTTGCTCTATTTTACTCACTTGTATTTCCCATCAGGCTCTCTGTAGCTTTGTGTAGAATGGATGTCCCCTGTTCCCCTCTGTTCTGTTGAGCAAAGTGTTTACCCACAGCTTCTGTTGCTGGATTTGAACTTGCTTGGCAGTGAAATTACTGCTTTCTTGGGGCACCTATTTTTGTATTAGATGCCGATACCCCGTAGGCATTAAAGTTTGAGTCTTTTAGCTTCAAGCAACAGCTATGTTCCTGCAGATACAAGCTGGCAGACATCGGTAGCCGAAATGCTAGTGTTTATTAGAGCAGAGCAAGGCTTCAGGGTAACTATGCCAAGTCTTGGCTCATTAAACTGGCAGGAAGATGCAAGAAGGCTGCTTTGAAAGATAAGGGCAAGAATTGGCGCAGGGTAGGCGAGGGTTAGAGAACAGCAGTGGGCAGGCCATGTGGTAGGTGTCTTCTATCTTCCCATAGATAATTTGAAGGCAAGAGCAGACTCATTGAGACAAATGAGCTGTCATACGAGCAGGAGTAATAGCAAGCTGGAGTAATGGCGTGCAGCACTTGTCACTGCCGCAGCTTAATTGGCACTGGTTTGAAATATAAGAGTTAGAACACGGGATCAACTCTGCTTTTCTGGAGTCCTAACTAGTTACTATTTCCTTGATTATTTTTTTTTTTAAGAAATTTGGTAAAGGTTAGTGTAGGAAAATGAATGTTTTGTCTTTTATCGTGATGGGGAAGCTACTTGGAATTAACGTAGCCTTCGGTTCTTTTATTCGGGGGAGCTCTCTCTTCCAGAGTTTCACCAACACTGACCTTCTTCCCGAAATTTCAACTGGTTTAACTTGAACATGATTACCTCTTGTCTCAGTTTGCAGAAGACGGAGTATATTTGGATGACTCAGATGTTGGCTGAGATGCTTAAGGTTTGACAGGGTAATTTGATGTGGATAAATACTTCAGATTAGAATGAGCAAATTGTACTTCTTCCTGTTTGTCTCCTAAAAAACATGCTCCTGTGAAAGCAGAGATGGGAGATGCTTGTATTTGTGTTGCCATTGTTAATGATGTTTTCTATAGAGTAGAATCTTTTTAATAGATGAGATTAGTAGAATCTGAGCCATTTAAAGACATTTAACACATTTGGTCTAATTGGTAGTCTTGCTAATAATCTGAATTATTATAAACAGCTAATTCATTGCAGTCCAGACAAAAGCACTTTTCTCTTTGCACAGCTCCACTCAGACTGAAGCAGGGTCTTTGAGGGGTTTCATCTACATTGCCTCCGTTTGCATTGTGGCTGAGTGTCCCACCTCTGCTAGGGGTTTGGGCTGAACGGGGCGGGCTGGAGAGAGCAGTAGCTGTATTCTTTGGGAAGCTATTGAAGCTGTTCAAACCATGGCCGTAGGGATACCCTTAAGAGACATGGAAGTGAAAGGTGCAGGTCAGCATGTGGTATATCACCCCCTTTTACAGTTACCAAAGTCAATGTGAACTTAACTGTAACCAGTTACTTAATGCCGAGGAAAAACATTTGCTTTCCAGGTCCCATAGAGAAGACTGGTACCAAAAATTGGTACTTCTGTGACTATTGCAGATTACTTAATGTATTGCCAGACCGTGGTCTGTTCTCCGAGATGCCAACCTGTCATACACTTCTGCCTATGAAAGAAGCCTGACTGCAGCTGGAACTCAATTACCTGCTTGCATGGTTTTGAAGCTGCGTTTCATTTGTCGCGCTGTGGTCTGTAGCTTGAAAACTTGCTGATGAAGTCTCAGGATGACTTGAGTGAAAGAGGCAAAGATTTTCTGCGATTAAGTGGATGCTTTTGTTTCTATTTCAGGCAAGCCCCACAGCATTGGCAGCTCCGAACGGATTCAGCTCTCAGGAATGTACAATGTTCGAAAAGGGAAAATACATTTGCCAGTCAACAGATGGACAAGACGCCAAGCTATCCTTTGTGGAACATGCCTAATTGTCTCATCAGTAAAAGAAAGCCAGACTGGAAAGATGCATGTCCTCCCTTTAATTGGTGGAAAAGTAAGAGATTTTGATTTATGTATTTGCTTGCTGAAGCCCTGTCTCTTTACACAGACAAGATTGCATTCTGTTGATTCCTAGCACCTCAAAAGCTTGTTTCTGTAAATGGCGTTATCAAAGTATATAAATCACTTTTTATTATGGTCAGAGTCATATTTAACAATCTACAACATTGGAATTAAGATGCTGAAGAAGAGCAAAGGAAACACATTCAGTTTCCTTTTCATGTGTGTGGTGTTAAATGTTTTGTGAGTACAGTAGTACACAGCTGAAGGATGGATGCACCTGTATGATCTGTGCCATGCCTCTTCCTCCCGTTTTTATCCATGCTGGGTCACTCTTAAGATCTGAAAATTAACCAGTAAGAGCATGGGCTTATTTTTCATCATTGTATGTTTTTCTGAGTGTTCAGCATTGTATTAGCTAACATAAGCTAACAGCAACAGACATTTCTGTTTGTGAGAAGCTGAAACTGGACTTTTATCAGACTACATCTTAAACACTGGAGGTCCAATCTAAACACAAGGGAGATTTTTTTCTCACTCTGAAGGTGACTGAGCACTGACACAGGTTGCCCACAGAGGTTGTGGAGTCTCCCACCTTGGAGATATTCAAAAACCATCTGGACACAGTCCTGGTCAAACAGCTGTAGGTGGCCCTGCTTGAGCAGGGGGGGTTGGACCAGATGACCTCCATAGGTCCCTTCCCACCTCAGCCATTCTGTGAAGCTTCAGTGAAGACTGTAAGTTTCAGAACACTGTTATTGGCTTGATTAACCAAGATAATGGGAAAAGAATCATTAGCTTGCAGATTAATTTATACCTGGGATAATGCTATTGTACCCTGCATACTGATACTTTTGATTCTTAAGAGTCATTGGGAGAGAAACAAGCTTCACGATGATATATATCCTGACTAAAGTTGATATATTAATATGCTATGCTGGCAATGTGGAAAGTAGTCCCTTCTTCTAGGATCTGTTTTTCTTATCTCCTTTCATGATTCTTCAACTCTCCCTTGGAGGTATTGAAGTAAAGATACTTTGATCTTTTAGAAGCAGTGGGTGAGCTCTGTCAGTGAGTTGCATTCCTGGCTGTAGCACATTGGAGAGGACAGGATTCAGATCCCCATCAGCCTTCTCTTTGAGACAAAAAAAATTATTTCTTTTAATTTAAAAAGAGAAGAGATTGTGTACCTATTTTTAATAGCTTAACATGGAATTTCTAAGCTGGTTTTGCACAGAAATGCCTTGTGTAATGTAAAACATGCAGACTGTGTTAACCAAAAAGTTGACAACAAATTTTTAAAGGAAAGGAGAACCAAGCTGAGAAAAAAATGTACTGAGGGCTTCTGCTGACAAAGCTTGGGAGGAGGATGCTTGGCACAGAATTAAGTGTTTTTTTTAAGTGATCGCTCAAAAAAATATTCTTCCTCAACTCCATAAATACTCTGCACTTCCTGGTTTGCAAAGGCTTTCCAGAATGCGTTGCTGAGACATTGAGACCATAAGTTGTGTGGGACTTCTCGTGTATGGTAGCAGAATGATATATTCTGGGTGTTTTTTAGCAAGTTGAGAAATGCCAAGGAATTTAATTGGGCTGTAAGATAAGCATTTTGTTAAGCCTGTTTTTAATAACCAGGAGTATAAATTGTACTTCTTTAAGTTGTATAAAGACAGCCTTACATTTGTTTTACTGGGAAACATTTTATGGTGCTCAGTCTCTTAAAATATCGGTGTTCTTGGTGTTTTTCTTTTTGGTTCCTTCATCCTTCTGTTCTCATTCCTTGCTTGTGTAGACTCCATGAATATTTGACAGCTAAGCTCCAGCCTGAGTGCTTGAGAGGCTTAGTCCAGCTCTACTTGAAGAGCTCCTCTTTGGCACGCCTTAACTTTGCCCTTGGGAGTTCTGCAAAGAGGCGTTTGGCTCTTGTTCACTACAGTTTTGTCTCTTCTGTAGGTGGAAGAAGTGAAGAAGCACCAGCACTGTTTAGCATTTAGCTCCTCTGGACCTCAAAGCCAGACCTACTACATCTGTTTCGATAACTTCACTGAATATTTGCGGTGGCTTCGACAAGCATCAAAGGTGAGAACGGCGCTAATTCCTGCCTGGATGGGATGTTCATAGCATTTCCCCCAGTTCCGTCTTCTCCATGCAGCGATATAGTCCCTCTTCTGGGTTCATTGGCATGAGCCGCTGTTAGCGTTGCACAGAGTAACCCCTCAGTTCGAGAACTCTTGATAACAGGCAATGGGGAGGTGAATTTATCTGCATTTATACTGAGATGTCTTTCTACCATGGTAAGCAAAGTGCTGTGGTGGACTTTCTCCCTCTTCTCGTCTTGATCCAGCTGGACAGATGGAGTGAGATCATGACAAATGTAACTGTCAAAATTTCAGTTTAAAAAGCTTTGTTTCATTGTTCTTAAAACCTGCAGAAGTGTTGGATTTTTGAAATTTGTTCTGTATATAGAGCCTAAAGATTAAATTGCTAGATCTAAGGAAATTTTTTCTTCCTTGGAAATGTTGCTAATTCTCTCATTAGTTCATAACTCTTTTTTTTTTTTAATAAGCAGTCATTTTATGTTAAAAAAAAGTTACTAAATAAAGCTTTCATAAACCAGATCTTATCCTGTGCTTAGAGCACAGTTTATGATGGGAGTTTAGGTCCTGCCTTATTTTGTTTGACTCTTCAGTTCCACTTTGTGTTGTTGAAAGGTTGTGTTTGCAGTTACCTGTTCTGTCTCTTAATCCCTGCCACTTTTTGGTATACCCACTCTAAAATTTACGTGTCTTGAACCACTGATTTTTTAAATTTATTTTTCCCATAGAAATTCTTTTGCTGTTCTGTCAGCACTCTGGTTTTCTAGTTGGGCCTAAACTGCCCATTAATTTTATACTTGATAGAACTGTCCGTTCATGCTTTTTACTATGCTAAAGCAACTTGCTTTTATGTAGTACTACTTAGAGATATTTATGGCACACTAGATCTGCTCTGTCTTTTTAGATTGCAATAATGTACTGTCCAGCCTCTTGCCAGTGGTACAACCTGGCTTGTGGATTTATCTAAGAGGTTTGATTATTATATCAGGCTTTCTTTGAGCAGTAACTATTGCACCTCCCAACACATGCGTCATTTAAAATGTCCTTCTGATTTCCCTAGGAAGTTTTAAAATTCTCTTTAAAGACACTGCTCTGGCATCCCTGCTCAGGTCTGTTGAGCCTCAAGGTAAAAATCCCCAAGGCATGTTTTATGAGATGGGGAGGCACGGCCTGTCAGGTTTTTGAGTTCTTGCCGCTTTGTGGCTCTCTCTGGGAGAGTTGTGCCCTTTCATCTCCAGAGGCTTTGACATCAGATAAATGAAAAGCAAATCTAATGAGTGAGAAAAACAGTGGAAAACAATGAACTTCAGAAGCGGAGATAAATGGCCAGAAAGCCCCTCTGAATTACTGGCAGTGCAAGCTTGTTCTGTGCCATGCTGTGCTTCTCTCTTTCTCTCTGGTTCACCCAAATGACTAACAGCATCGGGACGGTAGCCAGCATGAGAACATATCCCCATGCACTCATGGTATCCTCTCATTTTTCTTATGTAAGAGTAGAAAAAAATTACATAGTCTGAAGTGTCTTTTCAGACTGTCAGAACTGAGGAAACTCACTATGCTATTCTTTTTGTTGGTAAAACATTGCTTTGAGGAAAAAAAATGATGCTTCGTTGTCCCCATCTTTCCACCTCCCAGCCCCAAACACTGAGAGTTGGCATTCTGGATTCACGGATTTTTGAAACAGTACTTTGCTGCTTCAAGTTGCTTTCTTAATGTTTGGGTTTTCTATCCTTAGACTGAAAAACAGAGACAAGCATGATTGTATGCAAGGCAGTTGTGTGGGAAGTGCTGTGCAGTAACACTGTTTCTGAAGAACAGAAACAGAGAAACTAGCAATGCTGCAGAAGTAATTCAAACTTCCTCCAGCTGATGCTGTTCCTGTCCACGTGCCTAATTGTAACGTGCGTAGTCCCTGATTTACGTGTACAAATACATGAGAAGTTTCATCTTCAGCTCTGCCGTTCAGGCAAGTCAGCATTCTCATGCACGAAAAACCTGATATTTGTTTAAGGTAGTCTGCGTCATGTGTTTGGAGGCCACTCCAGTTCACAGAAGCTGCAATATTTGTGCTAACCAAGAAAGTACCATGTAGAGCATTGTATGTCTAAAGGCAAGCAAATTTAGGAAGAGAGATGTTACGGCTCTCTCCAAGCTTCTAGGTTGCTTGTTATGAGCTGGGTCACAAGTTACAGGTTCTTCTTTAATCGTGGTGGTGTATTTGGTACTTGCATTTTTGTGAATTCTTACGAATAATATTTAAGACTGTATTTTAAATACAGGTGTCATTTAATAGCATTTACTTTGAAACTGACATTCATGTTAACTCATGTTCAGTGATAGTTTTTCTGCAGTCCTTCGTACTCCTGATGTGTGCTGCTGAAAACAGAGGCTTCTGATACTTACAAGTGTAATGAAAGATTTTAATTCTAAATTTTAATGCAGAAGGAGATCCCTGGTAAAATATTTCATTACAGTTGCTCAATTCAGTTTTTAACTATGGAAAAAAACCTGTCTGTCTTCTGTATACTTCAAAAGTGCTAGAAGATGATGTTATTTTAACTTTTAAATAACAACCTTAATCTTGAAAGGAGGCTTTGCAAAGAATGCTTGCCCTGCAGTCTTTCTCTCCGCAGAATATTGGCAATGTTGACATTTTAGCGGTGTTCCAGAATGAGACATCCTAACGCATCACTCCTGCAATAAATACATGCACGCTACAGAAGATTTGAATTCATTTTTGCAGAGACTTGGGCTCAATTTCATTAAAAATGAGCACAGTTCCTGTATAATCTGACTCATTCTAACAGTGAAATCCATCTTAGCCAAGACAGCTCTCGTGCTCTGCTCCAGTAAATTTTTGGAAGGGGGTTGTCAATGGGTGTTAAGTTTGGTTTTCCTCTGTGTGTGGGTCCTGAGGTGAACAGAACTCCCGTTTGCAGGATGGACTGGAATTATTGCACAAATACTGACCTAAATAGCGAACTCGATGACATACTTACTCCAAATAGGTCACTTTTAGATATGCTGATTTAGCCTCAAACAGAATATTTTTAAAAGCTAGAAATGTGGCTTGTTCGTTAATATTGATATTTCTATACCACAGTGCATTTCTTTCATTTTGCTTTCCAAATACTGGAGTCCTAATTAAGGAAGCTCAAATGGAAAACAACAGCAGATTTGGTCCTTTGTGATCTAATACATTCGTTCTGTTGCCAAAAGTTGAAAAATAAGCTTATGCAACTGGGAGGGGAGCAGAGGGGGAAGAAAGGGATATCTTCGTGGCTTTAAAGAATTTTGTCTGCGTAAAGTTGGTGTGAAAGTTCTGGAACCTGCACAGTTGCTTGCAGAGCGATTCTGATCTACCGCTGTTCACCACTTGAATGTGAAATGCAGAAGGATGGGCGAAAAATGTGCCGTTAACAGTGAAGAGGACATGATGAAGGCTTTCCTTGTTTGCCACTTCAGAAAACTAAAAAGAGACAAAAAGCAGAAGAGAGAGAGGATTTAAGTATATGGTGTTACAGGGTTGTGGAACTTGCTGTCATGAGGCTTATATTTTGGGTACGGTAGTGAGCTTCTGCTGTTTGACACTTCTAAAAGCAAACCTTTAATGTTTTTCAACATGTGAAATTGCTGTTTAAGTGTTGACTACTCCACAACTCATGACATGGATGGCTTGGCCGGAGTAAAAAGGGTTATCAGTCCGCCATGTTCCAAGACATACACTTAAAACAGGAAAGCTGGGGAGGGACTTTTACCAGGGCAGGTAGTGATAGGACAAGGGGGAATGGTTTTAAACTGAAAGAGGGTAGATTTAGACTAGATATTGGGAAGAAATTCTTTACTGTAAGGGTGGTGAGACACTGAAACAGGTTGCCCAGGGAAGTTGTGGATGGCGCCTCCCTGGAAGTGTTCAAGGTCAGGTTGGATGGGGCTTTGAGCAACCTGGTCTGGTGGGAGGTGTCCCTGCCTATGGCAGGGAGGGTGGACTAGATGGGCTTTAAGGATGAGCGTCCAACCCAAACCATTCTGTGATTCTGTGAAAATGTGATTTGAGTGTTTGTCTCAAATACAGTATCGTAGAGCTTAAGCAGGGATGTGTTACATACAGAATTTTATCTTTCTGGAAATGGTCTGCATCCCTGGGCATGCTGATACGGTGTATCCGACCCCACAGAACTTCTCCCCTCTTGGCCTGAGAAGAACCTGTGTCAAGAGCTTCACACAACAGTCAGTTCCTACTTTAGCGCTCGGCTCAACGGGGCAGGTAGAGGAAGGCAGGCGGTGAGAGGTGAGGGCTGTAAATACTGCATGACCGCCTCATGTAAGCTGCCTGTGCACGGCCACATTGTACGTGTAGATAGGTAGAGGTGTACAGCACCAGCGACCGCTTCCCACGCCGAGTTGTGCAGCTATGGCTGTAGTGACAGCGTAGTCAGTGGGCTGTGAGCTGTTGTATGAGGCCAGGGTGGATTGGCACTTGCACACAGAACTCTTCTGTTTAAAATAGGAGGAATATCCAAAAAGAAATCCTTGATTTAAAAACTATCAAACTTACTCTCCTGCATGCCTTTGTATTTTCCCTTCCCTGTTTTATTCACCTTTGTCTTCCAGTCCACAGTCGAAATGCCTGTGGTGTTCCACGCAACCCTGGCCTGCTGTGGGGAAGGAGAGACTAAATTACGATGCCAGTGTGTATTGTGTTTATTTTGATAGCAAATTCAAGGGAGAAGGGCTTGCTGTCATATTGGTCTTATTCCTTTCATGTCAGTGCAGAATGCACTCTTCATAAATGTATTTCCACTGTGAGACTTGCAGACAATAACCACAGGTTTGAATTTATCGCATTGGCCAAAAAGTAATTGCGTTTTTTTTTTCTTGATTAAATGAAAAGTGAATTTTTCATGGGAGACAGAAACTTTATTGAACAATATGTCATCCATTTGGTTCAATTACCTCTTGCCATCTTTCAGGCGACTTCAC